TCTACTATGTTTTACTCGGACTTTTCTTCGAGAACATAGTACAATCAAGTTTTAATCCGTTCGTCGAGCAGACAATGCTTTTGTAATGTTATAATCTCTAAAAGGACAAATCAGTATGAATAGAGAGTCAGGTAGTAAATTCAGAGGATGTACACAGCAAATTCAGCTCACTGTTACCTTATCTAAATAGGTCTCATTTTCGCTACATATCACCGGATTCCGAAATTTTCAAACGCGATCAGAGTCCGGGGGATAAACGTTCCTTCTCCACGGTAGACGTCATCGTATTTCGTCGTAAACATCGTCGTATTTTGACGTATACTACAATATCCATCATCGTAAACTGCAGTATCGTTCCTCGTAAACTGTAGTATACGGTCGTTTACGACTGTCGTAATCATCATCCTGGGATCTAGCGGATCATGCAGAATAAACAAAAGAGAAAGAAAAACAAAGAGGACGACGTAAAACGTGAGTAGATTAGAATCATTTGTTCAAAATACATTTATTGCGCTCAAATTGATTAGTGTACTTTGGTTTTCACGTGCATTGTAGTCTGTTATAATCTGTTTCTATTTATTTTTAGGCACAACATCAAAAATTACACAAAAACAATCTGTTGTTTGCTCTGACTGCTGCTTTTAACTGTTGGTCAACAACAATGGTCATTTGACCGCTGGCCTTTTTATTAGGAATCAATAAAGATATAAACCAACTGTTGGACATACCATGACCGTATTAAAATGACTTTATCCAATTGTGATTGTGTGCATTGAAAAAGTTGTTCCATTGAGGAAATGAGAACCATATTATAAATAAATAATACTTAAATATTTTACTCTTTTTGATTTTAGTTTTTAAAGCAAAGACGTTATGATTGACTGACTTACGTGTAGTAATCGATCAAATATTTGATATATTAAGTTTCAGGCATATCAATTCAGTCGAGAAATTTTAAAAGCTTGTTCGACCAAAACTGATTTCATATACGGACTCGACATAGTCGATTACTTTGTATGCAACAAGTTGTGAATCGGGGTACTCCGGAAAACGTTTTCTCCATTGTTTTGCAAAAGAATTTTTTACGAAGTTCCTGGAGGAGACTAAGGGTTGAATGAGTATCTCGATTCACAATTTGTTACGTACAAGATAACCGACTATGGAGAGTCTGAATCTGCGATCAGTTTTGGCCAAACAAGCTTTTAAAATTTCACGTCTGAATGATATGACAGAATGGGGGAAGTTAGAAGTTAGCACTTATAACGAGAGATCGATAGCACCTATTGCAGTTTCTGAATTTCTTTGTGATCATATTTTTCTCTCTCTCTTAGTACGAGTATATCTGTCGATATTGCACAAGATATATTTGAAAAGGATACTGAAGATGAAAAAGCCAATGAAGAATTGCAACCACAAAAATCTGTACCATGTCGTTTATTAGCAGATACAATTTTACAGCGTTTAGTAGAAAATCTTATTTTAAAACAAATTATGGCTGGTGATATACCTGTTTGATCCACATTATAATAATAACATGTATATTCAAATTGCAGCTAATAAAATTCTTCCTTTTTGCACTTTTTTTGGTTCGAATTTTTTTCTTTCTCTGTCTGAAGGTGTGTTGTATCGATCAACGTGCTTTTGTAAAAAACAAAAACTGTAAAAGAAAAAAAGAAAAGGTCGTGATCAGACTAAATATGTGTTCTTTCATAAAGGTAGTGGTATTCCCCTGTCGACGATCAGATTTGTTCGTTGTAATAATGCACAAAATGCTGATTATCATCAAAACCATAATGTTGAGGGAAGGAAGGTGCACATTCAGTGTTTGCTGTTTTTGCTCTGTTGGTTCTTCTTTCAAACCATTTAAATAGAATTGTTAATCAATTGTCAGTTCAATACCAAATTATAAAATTTAACATCTTTTAATAATCACAAAATGATCCATGTTCATATGTTCTAGCTAATACAACTTTTTGCTGTCAAGTGTCCTCAAAGAATGAAAGTATTTTTTTTTGTTGATTTTGTATTGGATAGAACAGATGAATATGGATCATTTTGTGATTATTTAAAAGATGATAATTTTTTATTGAACAGAGAATTAGTCAAAGAAGATTTCAATACATCAAATAAATTGTCTTAAATGTTCTCTCTATTCATACTGATTTGTCCTTTTAGAGATTATAACATTACAAAAGCATTGTCTGCTCGACGAACGGATTAAAACTTGATTGTACTATGTTCTCGAAGAAAAGTCCGAGTAAAACATAGTAGA